ATTTCATGAACAAAGTGATAAAGCATCTATGTGCTTGGTCCTCGCGATGATGAACCTGATACTTTAGCCAAATAAATGACACTCTGACTATCACCAATGTACCTCCAACACTGCTTCTGATCAACCCCCAAATCTCTAAATCAGTCCATGTATCCAAATGGCCTCCTTTATAGCTTCAGCAACTGCCATATATTCAGCCTCTGTAGTAGACAAGGCACATACGACGACTGCAACATGGACCTCCAACAAACTGGCCCTTTAGCCATAGTAAACACATAGCCTGTAGTAGACTTCCTTCCATCCAGACCACCTGCATATCTGAATCAACTTAACCAATTGCAAATGACCAATACCAGAGTCATCCCTCTCAAAGCATAAACCCGACATCTCGATACCATGGAATACCTCAATATCATTCTTAGTGCTTTTTGCCAATGCTCTTTACCTGGATTATGCATATTATCTCGACTCACCATGCCAACTGCATGAGCAATATCCGGTCTAGAGATACCATTGCATACACCAAACTACCAACCAAATTTGCATATGGTATATTTTTTCATTTGCAGCTTCTCTTTTATCAGTTTTAGGACATTGTAGAGAACTCAATTTAAAATGAGGAGCCAAAGGGGTACTAAACCGGTTTGGTTGAATCATGACTCCAAACTTCCGAATCAACTTCTCAAGGTATTGTCTTGATTAAAACTGACCAAACCTTCTCTCTATCTCGAGTGATCTCCATGCCAAGGATCTTCTTTGCTTCACCAAGATCCCTTCATCTCAACTCATATCTTCATTTTTTTCATTATTCTCAATATCTCTTCAACATTCTTTGAGGCAATCACATATCATCAACATATATTAATAAATAAATGAAAGACCCATCATTTGCAACTTCTTGAAGTACACACAATGAACATCTGATTGGACTCTAGAATATTTTTTGGCCTCATCATAATTATCAAACCTCAAATACCATTGCCTTGGAGATTGCTTCAAGCCAATCAGTGTGATTAATCTAAAATTTTCAAAACTTCATAAATTTCCTTCGGTAAATTACGTCGCATCTTATAATAGATCTCTTCATGTAGTTGATTGTGTCTTCCTTGTCGTTATTTCATTCATATTCGGTTTGATACAAAGACTCTTTTTCATTCAAGATCACCTTAATGTGGGTAGAAAGCGTATTCACATTGTGAGTTTGCTACAAGTCTCAAGTCATAGTGTAACATTGTAGTACAATGCTGCAATGCTCTTGCTTTTAGTGCTTAATCAATCATTTTCAACTCTGCAACCCTTTAGCACTAAAATCTTTAAATCTACATTGCTTTTCTCGATCAGCATTTTCCTTCTTGGCATACACCCATTTGCAACTTATAGCTTTCTTGCCCGTAGGCAATTTAAGCTAACTTCCAAGTCTTGTTCTTCAAGAGAGAATTCATCTCATCACCCATGGCATTGACACACCTATTATTCACCTTCTTATTACTCCTCACATCTCAATAGCTTCCCCTCAAAATTGGATGGAATCTCTTCAGTGATAATACGAAGAGCAAAAGCAAGCACTAGTCCACTATTCCGACTTGGCTTGGTAATTTGTCCTCTTTCGTCTGTTCTTTGGCAATAGACTCTTGAGGTGAAATTTGCTCTTCAACTTTGAATAGAATCTTCAAGTTCAGAGTCTCTTCAACATCCTCATGGTCTCCAACTTCTTCACTTGTAATGGCTTCGAAATCAGCGGAAATAGGATTTGAAGTACCAGATGCCAACTTTCTCAAGCTCCACCTATTTGGACATCTTTCACATCTTCTCAGAGACTTGTTTCTTTTTCATCAAATTCACATCTCTGTGATTACAAGTTTTTTCATTTTCTGGGCACCACAACCTGTAACTTTGACACATTACTAACCAAAGTTCACAACTTCTCCATTATTTGGCTTTTGGGATCAAGTTTATTTTCAGTAGCACAATGAAAAAAAACATAAGCATAAAATCAAGTTCAAGATCATGGAAAATTTTTAAGTCATAATTCCCAGACTCTATTGGGTGTCTTACCCTGAACAGCAGCTGAGGGTAACCGGTTGATGATGGTGACATGCATAATTAACTGTTTTAACTACCTGATTGCTACCTAAAATATAACTTCTTGCCTTTTAATTTTTTAAACCCTTTTGGAGTTCCCCGAACACTAAAATGTTTTCAATTGACTCTTTGCATACTAATTATAAAGAAGGGTTCATTCAATCTTCTCAATATCACTCTTTCCCAGTCTTTTGTTAAGTTTTCCGAACAACATAGAAAATGTCTCAAATCACTTCCTCTTATTTGCAAATTTCTAAAAAAAAAGGGTCAATGTGTCACGAAACTCCATACCGACTTCAAAAGTCTTCAAGGATGGCTCCAGTCTGAAACCATTTTGTTACTCCATCTCTCACATAGAAGTAAGCTTAAAAGCCCTTTTAAAAGACCTTGTTTCGATTCCTTTGGTCATAGGAATCTTTTTTGACCCAAATTTACAAGCACATTCCAGGGCATTTCAGATGTCCCTAGTTCACAATTTCTTTCACTAGATCCGATGATCTTCTCTCCATTTCCAAATCTCTTTCAAGACTTAAAAAAGCGGGTTCAGGATGGTTTTATATCTTAGTACTAGGTCTCTCATCCTGGTTTTATAAAATTTACAAATCTCTCCACAGTTTGGCTCATAACAACGCCTTCAAAATGCTCTTAGTTCATCCAGGTAACAATCCTTTTATCTACAATTTACCTTGCGTTAAATGGGAATTCATCAACCTTAATTAGAAGCTTGCTCTCATTTCTTTTTCTTTTGGCATCAATTTAAAGTTTTCATCCATCAACAAGGTAGCATCTAGGTGCTTCTTTCATTCAATCTTTTGTACTCCCGATTTCATTTTCTTTAGAAAACGCAATGAATTCTTCGTGTTGCCGCCCGATTTTGCATTACACTCTTCGTCATATACTTGTCTTCCAATTTTTGCCACAACACACTTGCTACCGTCTTCCGCATCACAAAATAATTCTGAGTTTTTGCAAGACACAACCGAATTGAAGAGCAAGCCCACAAATTTAATTTCTCCCATTCCGGTTTCGACATAGCTTCCGGCTTCTCTCCCAAAGCGGCCAGTAGATCTTGTTGAGCCAACACATCTTTGACCTCACATTGCCACATCCCGAAGTTGTTTGTGCCATCAAACTTTTCCACTTCGAACTTTTCATTTTGCACCGTAGTTCTTGCAAACCCGGAGTTGCTTCCAAAAGGATTTTCATCTTGCCCGTCTGACATCTTTGGCAACTAGACAGTACCCAAGAGCAACTAGTGCTCTGATACCAATTGTTGTGCTAGAATAACACCAAACCCGTTGGAACCAACTCAAGCTAACCCACAGGAAATTTATCAAATGAAAATGCAAGAACAAAATATTAAAGACACCAAGATTTTAACAAGGTTCCTCAACAGTCAGTGTAACTGGAGTACGTCCTCGGAGCAGTAGAAGCTCACCCAATAATCCACTATCAACCAAATGAGAGTTTACAAAGTGTTGGCAATCTCATAACCTAAATAACCCAATACACCCAATAACTCTCACTCACCAAAGAAACAAATAGAGAGGGAAATATAGTGAATAATTTCCTCTCTATACAAAGTTCAAAGCTAATACACAAATACAACTTTGATTGAGTGAGTACCAACAAAGAAAGAAATCACCTTTCTTTCTTCTCTTTCTGCTCTCAGTTTTCTGCTCTCTGCAGCTCTCTGCAACTCTCTCAAAGATGGGCTACTAAAACAGAAAAATGGTGCACTCTTCCTCTATCTTTCTCACTTACGTATGCTCACTTCATCAATACAAAAGCACCCAATAAAAAATTCAAAAACATAATCATGACCTTCAATTTTTCTTTTCAACAAACATAATCATGATGCCTCCTCATCATATGTCTTTCACTTTTTTTTTTCTTTTGGTTTGTTTATTAGCCGAAAGTTGTTTTGTTTTGTTGTCCCCACTTGGCTATTTAGCACAATCTTCTTTTCCTTCCCCCCCCCACCCCCACATTAGGGCTGGTGTTTCTCCTCGGTCTTCCAGTTCCACCGCTGTGCTTCCGGCCGCTCCTCCACTTCTTCTGTAGGGCTCACACGTCCTTTTGGGACTGCTTCTGTAGGGCTCGTAAGCACGTTTGCTAGAACTGATTTTATCAAAATACGTTAACTTGTTGGCACCATTAGATTTATAGGATTATATTGATTTACTTCTTACCGAAGGACTTGTTATTATAATCTTCAGGCTCTGCAGATTCTTAAATTAATGGAATTGTGTTGATCTTCCACCCCTTGTCTTCTGAGATTTGAGTAAGCATAAAGAACACTGCAACGATTTTAGTATAAATGGAAAGCTTGGGTGGCGCTGGGTTTTCACCTGGAGGTTGCATTGTCAGGAAGAAAAGGAGTATCGCGTCACATAAACCTCGCTTAAATCCACCGACATTTTCACTCTGCTCTAGTATCCCTATTGGCAAAGGAACCATTGATGAGGATCAGAATAATAAGAAGAAAATAGTGCATTCTGATGGACTCGGAAGTACGTAAGAGCAACCCGAAGAAGTTAAAGCTTAAGTTTGGAGGTGTTACTCGTACAATCAACACCAAGTAATATAGCAGATGTTGGCAATGGTGGTGGCTCGTCCACTGCTAAATCTTCAAGCTCTTTAGATGCCTTCACACCCCAAATGAATTCCCTTGCTCAGGTACCTCACCCTGATTCTTGTTACTATTGCAATTGTTAGTAGGTCTCATTTTGCACGACCTGTATGGTGGAATTTATTTGTCATCCTGTCTGATTTTTGCAATGATTTTTCTTTTAATTCTGTATAATCACAACTGTAATGACAAGGACCTCTTTGAAAATTTGTAGTTCAACGGTTGCTATTTTGGTTTCAAAAGTTACACGATGCCGTGTATCGTAACATTATTGATGCAGGATGATTCAGGTGGAGATGGGCTCGATGAGCCAGTTCGTAAGAGCAAGCGGGCTCCTAAGAGAAGCACCTTGGGTGCTGGATTTAATGAAGAAGATGATGAAGATGAAGAAATCCAATTCCTTGAAAGATTAAGCGCATCTAAGGTTGCTCGTTCAGAGAGAATTCAAATGGACATTCGCTTTCATGGAGATGATAGCGGAGAGTATAAACCCTCAAGGCTGGGAAAAACTAGTAAAAAAAGGTCAAGCTCGGAAAAAATGCACGAGGATAAAGATTACTTGGGAGAAGAAGATGAAGAAGAATTGACATCTGATGATGAACCTGAACCGAACGGGAAGAAGCTGAAAACAGGATCTCTTAGTCTACTTCTAGAAGGGAGGAAATAATCGACCCTCACTACACGTAACCGGACCCTGCAGCCCGGAAAAGATATCTTTCCTGGTTCAGGTTTTCTTGACATTGCAAGTGATTTGCTTCCTGTCCCATCTAAAAGTGCGCATCTTATCTCCGTGTTTGTTGCATCATTCTGACTATATTGAAGATATCCATATATATGCATATACGTACTGAACTTGTTTTCAGTTTTTCTGTTGGCTGGTTGACCACAGGCAAGAAGGAGGCAATGTCTGAAGTGGAACGACAATTAAAGAAAGCTGAGGCTGCACTGAGACGAAAAGTGAAGTTAGAGAACGCAGCTAGGGAAGCTGAGGTTTGGCTTTTATCTCACGTTTTATAATATTATCTCACGTGGTAAATGTAGAAACAGTCTCACCTCTAATTTTTAGGCTGGGGCAATCAGAAAACACTTGGTCAAGACTCGAAGAAGAAGAAGGAAGAAAACTGAAGCAGCAAAGGGACGAATTGAATCAGGTCTTTGAGTTATTATAGTTCTTTGCATTTATTCACATGCAGTATTAACTATAATATTCATGCAGGGCAGGACCGGCAGTGCTGTCACACTGGCACCAAACACTGTTCGATGGGTCATCGGTCCTAATGGAACCACCGTTACATTTTCTGACAATATGGTCTGCCTAGTATTTTCAGTCCAGTGCCTTGCAGGTAGAGCATTTGCTTAATTTTTGCGTCTTACAATCTTTGCCTTTTCTTCTTGAGATTGACACATTTATAACTTTGATGGTTTGTGTTATTTAGCTATCCTCCCCCACGTGAAAAATGTGCGGGTCCAAACTGCACGAATGCATACAAGTATCGGGATTCCAAGTCGAAGCTTTCCCTGTGCAGTCTCCAGTGTTACAGATACACGAAAAGATGCAGCCTCCAATTGCTTGCTAATACCATCTCCTCCTGCACATCATCTTGAACCAGCTAATATGTTCGATATAGGCCGCTGGAAGCAGGATAACGGAAAGCTCATCAAATTTTGAGTCATGCGCCCTGATACCGGTCATGGAATAGCGTAGCATCATCTCTTCCTATATTATTTGCTGATCACTAATGTTGTTAGAATAGGAGATTATACTGCAACTACAACTAAGTAGAATAGTTAGATATATGAAAGAACAGATGCGATTCGGTGCTACGATGAGAGATCACAAACTTGTTTGATCCCGTGTTTCTCGTAGCAATTGAAAAGTTTCTGTTTATGGACAGGTTGTCGACTTGGGATGAAATATTTCACTGCAGAACGTGCAGGGTTGAATTCAAGATAGAAAAACCCAAAGCTTATGCTAATTTTGGCGCGAGGGGAACATGTTTGAATTACATCATTCTAGCATATATAATTAATTAATTAAAGGATTTTTATCTCAAAAGGTCTTTGTGATTGACTATTACTATTAAGATGGTCACTGAAATTAAAAGTCAATCAATGTAGTCTTTGCAAAAAGGAGTCACGAATCAATGTGGTTCCTCCGTCACAGTTCTGTTAAAATTTTCATGATGTGGTACATAAAAGGACCACACAAGATTTATAGGTTTTTATCACAAATGATTACTGAAATTGACCTACACTATCAAAATGGTCTCTGAAATTGACCTACACCTTCAAGATGGTCCCTACAATTGACTCACACCATCAACATCTTCTTCTTATAGTAGAGCCTACTTCGAAGAGAGATCCATTTCATAAATTCTCAAAGGCACAAGGCTTAAGTAAGGCCTAAGAGGGGGTGTGAAAATATTTTTCAACCAAAAATCACCTCGGCTATAACCTCATTACCTCATTGTTCTTTGCATCACCAGACCACCAGAGAAGTGTTGAACAAGCTTTTCAAGATTAAGGTTGTGAGGATGTTGATTGCATAATTGTTAATGGTGATGTCCTAAAAGTTGTTGCCAATGGACCAAGCCATCACCAAAGGTGATCTCGATCCAAATTCAATTTGATGCAAAGTGTCGAAGTGTGTAAAGATGCATTTATTGATATTTTTTTTTAAGAGAATAGAGAGCGAAAGAGGTAGAGAAATGTGGATTGGGATCGGAGGTGATTGTAGGACTAGGTTTTTAGGTTGACAATTTTTTTATTAACTATTAAATTATTAAGCCTATTTGTATTTTTTTTAATTTAATTATATTTGTGTGACCCATTTATGTTTTACATTAGCACATAACAAAATTTTTGAAATAATTGTGACAGAATGACTACATTGATTTGAGACACTTACTTGTGGGACTACATTTTAATTTCAGGGACCATTTTGATGTTGCGGGTTAATTTTGGGGACCATTTTGATATCGTGAGTCAATTTCAATGACCATTTATAAGAAAAAATGACTTATAGAGTCCATTTATGTGTTATATCAGCACTTAACAAATTTTTTTTAACATAATTGTAATGGAATGACCACATTGATTTGCAACACCTATTTTCAGGAACTACATTCATTAATTTTCAATTGATTGATTTTAAATTTCAATAACCATCTTGATGGTGATGGTCAATTTCAAGGACGATTTGTGATAAAAACTCTTAATTAAAATTAGAGATTTTATCTTCCTTCACCTCTTTACATTTCTACGCGCCAATTTGATTTTCAAGACGCTCACCACTTTATTCACCAAAAAAAAAAAAAAGACCCTCACCACATTTTATTTATGGCCGTCTGATTAAATATAAGATGAAAGCAACGTGCACGTTTTATGGGCAAAAAACCCAAAAAAAAAAAAAAAGTATATAATTAAACAAAAGTATATAAAGGGATGTGATATCCACACTCCTCATTTTACTTCTCACACACCTTTTTAATTTTCGGCCGTCGGATCGGATGAATTAAAGAAGATCAACGAACAGAAATTATCAAGGAGTGTGTGAGAAGTAAAATAAGATGTGTGAATAGCACATCCCGTATATAAAAAGAGAGAACGTAACACCATTTCGGTCTGACAAAATAAATAAAAGGCAACAATATGCAAATGGTTTGTCTATTTGTGTGAGATGGAAAATGTTTCTGCGATGACAAAACGATTTAAGTTTACTTACAACTGTGGACATTTTTGATGATCATAGATTCATAAGAGATCTCAGATACTTCAAGTAGATGTTAAAACTTTCAAACAGATGTCTCTTTAACTACTATATAAGACGTAGGCATATTCTGTTTACAAAGGCAGCTCGAATCGTCACTGAATCTAAGATTCATCCATGAAAACAGCACCGTGTCCGCTGGATTTCATAAACTTCTTAAAAAGCAGAACCATGATTGCAATGGTAAGTCCAACAGCAGCCCATGTGAACAAGCGATCGTCGGCTGCTTTTTGTACTTTAACTTCTGGCCTTTGTAGCAGCTGACTTGATCCGACGGAAGGAGCTCCATTCAACGCCCTTGCTACTTCAGGGGCAGGGTTAGCATTCAGAGGGGCTTCCTGTACTTCTTCAACAATCCTGTCTCCCGCCGTTGGGTTTGCAGGCCCTTCCCCAGAAGTTTCCTCGGCGGGTGTGGCTCCAGCGCTTTCAGAACTCTCCTGAACATCGCCTTCCTTGTTTGAAGGATGCTCTTCCGAAGCCTGTGAGGGGCTCAGTTGAGGGACAGGGGGTGCCTTGTTCAGCATACATTCATGAATCTGTGAGATTACTATTATCCGTTAGCAAGTTCCCAACACAAAAACTTCACCTGTGTTAATTTGCAGTGGAAACTTCATTGGTTATTTTACCTCATCCATTAACTTTTGGCGTTCTGCAGTGCCATATCTAGGGGCTGCTGCACGAGATTTGATGGCCAGAGAACGCCTTTCTTCCTTCTTGTATTCCAGTGAACCTAATGCACCATTTGGGTTGGTAGGCATGAATGCAATAAGTGCAACTAAAGCGGTCCGCACTGCCAACAGACACAGTACATTAGCAAGATGAGAATACAATGTCAATCATCGAGGAATCAACTCAAATTCCAGCCGTGTTTCACATCAGCATACAGACCGTGTTCTCAAATACCACTTAAAATGTCAATAATTGAATAGATACTCATTAAGAATAAAGAGAAAAGTCCAAAACAAGGAACATCATAGTGATATGGTCATTGGACTGAGCAAGTCCATTTCCAACTCCATTTCAAGCCAACCATGATTTAATGGGTATCTGTTACGATGTTATCAATTCCGATGTGGGATTGGGCTAAGCAATAGGGATGCCACTTACAAAATGCACATTGGAACAGTGCCAGGCCTATCTACGTAATAATAAGCTTTTATAGCTCTTGAGACAGTTTGCCCGCATAACTAAGCACTAGCATACACAATGTCTAAGAAAGAGTGGAATTTACCGCTCCATGATGGCTGCCAATGCTCGGGATGATGATTCGATATGCTCAAGCAAATCTTGGTTTGGGTTTCGAAGCGACCATTTGGCTGCAAGTGAAGTAAACAAGTCAACACATCATGACTGAAAAACTATCCCAACCAGCAAACTAGCGCATTAACCTCAAAAATGCACGCCATATTACCGTCAGCAACATGAATGAAGGGGGTTTGAACGGGTACTCCGCCGGCAACTGGATACGCCCGTGGTAAATCCCACCTTCGAATTCGGTATCACGAGGGCCTCTGATTGCAAATTGCCAGTCAAATATGTTCTCCTGAAAACAGACACCAATCAGCTAACAATATTGATACATTGATAATTAGCATTTAGTCCAAACAATATCCCTAATTTCAAAATAGCCATAAAATTTAAAACAAATGCGAAATTTAGAAAAATGAACTAAAAAGCAAAATTCAGCTCGAACCCCCAATATTTATAATTCAATTCAAATCAAAATTCTGGTATCAAACTCAAATCTCACCATCAAAGCGGAATTACACAAAATAAAAATACAAGAGCAATAATCTAAATTTGTAAAATTATTGGCAAAAGTGAGAAACCTCGAGGGGGAGGCTCATGAAATCGTCGGAGGGTTTGGATTGCATCTCCTTAACCTCCTGCAGTATCCGCTTCACCGCCGGGTTCTTCAGGTTGTACTTGTCCTCCGCCATCACAGTCCGATCCGAATCGATCCGATTCGATCTGCTCCGATCCGATCCACCGCCACCACCACCACCTCCTCTCCCGGTTAACAATTTTATATACGAAATACGAATACGAAGCGGGGAAGAGGATAGAGAGAACCAGTCGGTGTTTATACGAGAGAGAGAAGGGGGTTGAGCATTCATTGGGTATTCGCCACGTCTTCTGATCTGCGTTTGCTGAGGTGTCAGACTATGATTGGGTGTCGTGGATCTAACTTTGTTTTGCTGTCAATATTCTGTTGTTCAAGGTCGGTAGTGTTCCAACATGACTCTCTACGGATCCTTTTTTTGGGTAAGGATAATGAGAATTCGTAAATCGTGTTCGTTCATCTTATATCGTACGGTCAGTTTTTATCAAATATTGTTTATGTTTATTTTTATATAAAAATATTTAAAATAATTTCTTACCTTATGATAGACGATGAACAGACACGATTTATAAATTGCTAAAATCCTCACAAAAAGAATCCGACGAGGAACCGGACTCGATAGTGTCACTAATTTACTGTTAGGTGAATGTGGCGGGTTAATTAGTCAATTTATGTCACACTGTAAATCTAACCAAACTGGGCCTCAACTTAAGTCTTAACCCCCATTGGGCCAGTTTTGAAGTTTCTTACCTTAAAAGGACAATGTAGGAGGGAAGGTGGGCTTGTGAAGTTTTGTTTTAGTTCATATAGTTTCAGTTGTCGGGATTTAAATCATATTATTTTACAAGGTTCTAAAAAACGCTAGGCGCTAGTCGGGCGGCGGGCTAGCGCCTAGCGACTAGGCGGCTAGGCGGGGTCTAGGCGGGCGCCTGACGGATTTAGGTAAATTTATTGTATATCTTGTAAATAAGTTCATGTTGAAACTTATAAAAACAAAATATACTTGTATGAAATCCATAGATAAGATAATAAAAAAATGATAAAATGCAAAAAAAGTATTTAACAATGTCTCTCCAATAGATAGGATTTTTTATTTTATTTTTTAATGAATTAGATGGTATAAGTATAAGATGAAAGTTCATATGATAATAAGTATATACTACTTAATAAATATTTTTTAAAAATTATTTATTATATAGTGAACCTAAAAAAAAAGGTGCAAGTGTAAACATGATGGATTGTAGTCTGGTGGGAACGCCACACCAAAAAAGAATGTGGGGCACACCAAACAATATTCAATCTATGTTCTTCACTGTACCTGACAAGAAGTTAATTAATTTAAAAAAAAAAAATAAAACAGAAAG